CCCACCCACCGACACATACACACATACACACACTCCCAAGGACATCTGCTCTTACTTGCCTGGTTCCCAAAGATAAGATGTTTCTCAATAGCCTAATCAGATACTGGCCTTGAAGAGTCTGTGTCAGAAATTTAGGGGTGATATATTTTACCCAAAAGTTAGGTCAAAAATCTACATCAAGTTTTAACCATAATCTCAGTTCCCAAGATTAGTTTGAGGTTTGAGGGGACCTAAGTCAGGCTCACGGGAAATTAACTTTTAGTGTCTTACATGTTCCATTGATAAGCCTTACTTGGTCGTCCCCAAATTCTTGTTCTGAGAAATCCATGCAAACTAAAATGTGTTACAGAACTTCTGAACATCAGCTAAGTTACCAAGTGCCTTAATCACGGTATTGATGGGGGCACAATTACCTGATTTGTTAGGTAAAAATCAAGATGTTAAACATAATTAAAGGTACGAGACCAAAAGCAGGAATTTAGGACTTCATATAAAGTCAACTCTGGTAGCAACAAACTATTCTGATGGCAGAAATCATCAGAAAATGAAAGTGAATCATTAATTGATATGCCCTCTCCCCCAAAACCAACACCTCATCAACTCAAATGGTAACAGGAATGTCAAAATTATGTTTTATCATAAAGTCCTTTTCTTATTCAAATATAGCTGTTTTTATTTCATAAAAATTGTTAATATGTAAGAATTATTTCTTTCGGATGCCTGTTTTTCATCCTTGGCTTGTTATAATTTTTTTTTCCAGCAAAGGGTGTTATGTCAGCTATTCTACTCGAGAAGATAGAAAAGATATTTTAAGTATAATTTTTATCGTACAAAATAATCCTCTCTTGTGAGTGAGGTATAGGAAAAGGCGCCTACATATTTGAAAATGGTGGCTTTATTATCAGCATCAATTCATTGCCCGATCACTGCTCAGTGAATCATTCATTTATTATAGCGTATAATTTCTTTGTGATGGTCATTAGATTTATTATTTAATCATATAATCATATGTGAGTGACAATACAGTAAGAGTTGTGAAATGGCCCAAACTGGCTCCTGATGGTCTATCTCTTCCTTGATTCTAATTCATTCTTAGGAAGTTATTAGTACCTTAGAGCAAAAAATGCTGAATAGTGATAAGTCCACAGGAGCAACTTATAACTGGGGAAGCTTGGAAATAAATCAGTGCAATAACAAGATCAATGTTGGGTTTGTGTAATGTGTATTTCATATGATCCTTTTAAAATATTCAATACAACATAATTTCACTTTTACCGAACTTCTCAAGTTGTAGTTAAAAAATAGAAATCCCAAGCAAAAAAAAAAAAAGTTTGCCTTTCTTTTATTTTTGTTTATATACCTTCCTAGAATATTCATATAGTTTCTAAAAAATTCTTTTCCTGTATTTTATCTTTTCAATAGGATGTTTTTACATGACACTATTTCTAATGAGTCTTTTTACCTTCTTTTAAAGGTTTCCTTCAAACTACTGCTGAGGAGTTTTGCTCTTATTACGCAAGAAAAGATGGTGGGTTGTGCTTTCCAGACTTTCCAAGAAAACAAATCAGAGGACCAGCGTCTAACTACTTGGACCAGATGGAAGAATATGACAAAGTGGAGGAGATCAGCAGGTTCATAAAGATAATGCTCTTTAACCTTTTTAAATTAAAAACCTGACACATCTTGTGGTTTGGAAAGTGAATCATCTGTCTTTGCTTATGTCCAGCAGCTATATACTTCCACATGCTTTTTTTTTCTTTTTAGTAGTTTGCTTCTCTAAAGTCATATTAGCTTAAATGCTCTTAATGCTTAGACTACTAATCTTCTGTTATGAGCTTGGCTTCTCTGTGATTCATGTGAGTTTTATGAGTCTAGTTTTAACTTGAAATGTGTGGTTGTTGTTGGGTTATGGTGCTGTGGAAATATTAAGCACAATTACTATTAGCAAATCAGAGTTTTATAAATAGATCTTAGAACTTTCTCTCTGAGCACCTTTCTATAAGGTTTAATTATTGTGAGTGAAGCTAATTTTAATTATAGTCACTGAAAGATGAAATAATGAGCTTGTGAAGCTTTTTTAAAAATTTTTTTTTTTTTTTTTTTTTGAAGCTGGGTGATGTGTGCGTGGTAGTTCTTTAAAAAAAATATTTTTTTTAATTTTTTTCTATTACTGTTTACATTCAGTATTATTTTGTATTAGTCTCAGGTGTACAACATAGTGGTTAGACAATCATATACTTGACAAAGAGTTCCCCCCGATATTTCTCATACATGTTTTGATTCTCTCTTTTACTTTCTGATAGGAGACTGGGTGTGTCTTTTTCCCAGTTGAAAAGAATTTCAAAGAATTGAGTTTGCAGCCCTTCAGGATTATCCAAACCACTGCGTCCTGGAGGAAAGGTGTTTTGCAAAGGATGCTAACTGCATCCCTTCCCTCCTTCGCTTAAGCAAAGCTTACTGATTTCTTTCGTTTGTCCAGAAAGCACAAGCACAGCTGCTTCTGCGTGCAGGAGGTGGTGAGTGGGCTGCGCCAGCCGGTCAGCGCCCTGCACAGCGGGGACGGCTCGCACCGGCTCTTCATCCTGGAGAAGGAGGGCTACGTGCGCATACTCACCCCCGAAGGAGACATTTTCAAGGAGCCTTATTTGGACATTCACAAACTTGTTCAAAGTGGAATAAAGGTTGGCTTTTTCAATTTTATTTATCTTTGCTGTGGCTATGTTAATTTTATTTTAGTTTTATCCTTGCTGAAGGTATTTCTCTATAATAAAAGTATGTTTAAAGAGAAAATAAGGAGACAACATAAGGGAACAATAACTATGGCAACTGAATCGGGGCAATGACATTAAATTCTTTTTTAAACTTTATTTTTATTGTTGACACTATTACAGATGTCCCCCATTCCTCGCCCCCTTTAATGTTACTTGGTGACTATTAAGTGGTGCAAACAGATTGGTACTTTGACACGCTTTCACTATGTAATTTACACATTTAAAATCATTCTTGGTTTTATAAAGTATTTGTTGAAATGTTTAATAGGCATAATACTTACAGTTGTAGACTTGTATATCAGCATTTGCTAGTATAAGCAAAGAGGCCTTTCGGTTATTTTGGCAATTGCAAATCATTCTTTACCACATCTGTTTTTGAACCTGTCATAAAAGATGCTACTTATATTGTGACTTCCTTGTACAATGTTTTTACAGGTAAGTCAAATATTTTTATTTATAATAAGCCATCTTTATAATATATTAGCACATATTTGCCTTCATTCCCACTTCTCCAATTTGAGTGTTTATGTTAAGTAGTCTAGTAGGTACGTAAATAAAATCATCAAATTTGTTTCACAAAAGAGTAGCCAGTATAGTATTAGCCGTATTAAGCTGTCAAGCAAATTGTGGCATTCTTAAACTGAGACTAGTAGAACATCTCATGCCTATTTTAGAATGAAACAAAGTAGCTATACATGATTGGGAAAGAGCTGGTTATCTTTTTCATTTCTTAACTGGGAAAAACATTAAGGCGGATTTATACTCTTCTACTCATATAGAAACAGACCCCTTGCTTTGTTGTTGAGCTGTTCTCAAAGGCAGGAATGTGAAAACCAGAACAAACAAGTTAGAAAAAAATATAAATATATTCCTGAGATTTATGTACTTGGTACCTACCATGTAAAATAACAGGAATGACTCAATTAGAATATAGGGAATGCCATGTTGTTGGGACCACCCACCTCAACCTCATGTGTGGCAGTGTCACCGAGACATACAGCCTAAGGAGAAGTACCTTATGGTACTTCCAGTCCTTAAGAAAAAGGACTTTGGCACAAAGACAGATCATTTGGAAAATCTGTTAACTCCGTAGTTTCAACTTTCTCCCAATAAAATTTTTCTTTAGAATTCACTGCAAATAACCAAAAGTCTCTTAAAATGAAGCATTAGCATTTTACACATCAGAGTTCGATAAATAGATTCTGAAATGTGTTCTGATAAGTCACCACCACTGTACCTAGTGAGCAAAGAACGAAGCTGCAGCCACAAGGGCATCACTCACCAGCGGTGTATTTTTCCTACTGTGCAAGCTAAACAGCCTCCCTAGAAAAGAAAAAATGGGGGAAAGTATGTAAAAAACCATCGCCTATAATCCCATCAATTAAAGAATATCACTATTAACATCTTGATATACTTTCTTCCAGTTTTTATATTAAAATTAAAGGAACTTTTCTTGAGAAAGAAGGTAATACAAGTACATATTAATAAATGAGGAAACACACAAAAGAATATGCTTTCTTGCAGTTTTTATCCTAAAAAGCTTCAAAATAAAATTGAAATCAAACCAAATAAATATCTTTTTCACCTTCTTTCTTCACTTAATAATATCTCATGAGTATGTTACCAGATTTGGAAATTTTCCTCAAAAAGTCCATTTCCTTTTTATGAGACATTTAGGATGGCTCCAGCCTTTTCTTCTTTATCATTTTAAATAACGCTACTTGTCATTCTTATATATACAGAAGGAGCATTACTGAGTGAAAGGCATCCACCGTGTACATGAATATTATAAATTTGCCCTAAAATATAATGTTTTCAAGTATTTGCAAGATTAATATATAGTTTTCAAATATTATTTTAGTAAAAATGTTAGTCTTGAAAAGATGCATATGGTAAAGTGTAGGTGAAAGAAATGAGCTAAGAATACTTGGAAATTTTGTTGTGAGAAAAAATAACAAAAACTGGTGTTCTTATTTCTACTTTAACTGTCTTCCTTTTAATTGGAGTTGCTTCAGAGTCCCTCTTTTTAAATATTTGCCCATTCATTGGGATATTGAATGAAAGTTTATTTTCTCTGCTATTGAGATATTGCATCATGGGATAAAATTGCACAAGCCAAGCTGCAGCAGTGACATGGTTCCACCGTATGCATGTTTTGCAGGCCCCCAGGAATTCTGCAGAACCTCCTTTACCTCCAGGGCTTAAAATAAACTTCAAAATCCATTTTCCTACGTACGTAGAATGAGTTACATAATATGACATATTTTAAAGTGCAATATTTTTAATTCCCTTCATATCTGACACTTGTGACATCAATAAGATACCAATCTATCCCATGGATATTTGAGTGGATACTGGATAGTGAGTCATGAGACCATGTCTTTATCACCTCAAGGAGGTTAGACTACACCTGGCCTTTAGTTCAGTCTCCATGGAACTCCTGTCACAAGTCACCGGCTAGAAGCATTAGAAGAGGCAAATCTAAATATGATGGAGCAGGTGCCAGTGTGTTCATGAGGTGATCCTACCATACCATTGACTTTCATGGTACATCCTTCAGAGACTTATGAAGTGAAAACATTTTCACAGCTACTTCACAGTAATTTTTCAAGCTTCTTGATATACGAATAGTTAGTGTGTTCATGGCAATATTCTGTGTTTGTCAGCAGTCGTTTTGCATAAGTAATGCAAATAGGAATTTTCATAAATTATTATGCATATCACTTCTTTCCTAGTCTTCCTATACTAAAATTCCAAGAGAGGAAATAAAGCTGTTTTAACAGAGCACAATATTGATGGCAACACTCAGATCACAGAATTAATAATGTATACTAAACCCAACCTTCATATGTTTGAAATGAAAACAAGACAAACCACAGTGAGACCCCCATGATATTAATTAATGACCAGCACGAGTATATTAAATGAGACATAAAGCAGAATTCCTGATTATAAGGATTTCTAAAGCTCGTGCTGGCTGTAAGGGAATCTGGAATTTCTTTTCTGCTAATTGTCAATTAAGAATTGATAGTGATTTCTGTCCCGTGAAAAAGGACTGACCTTTTTGTGGCAAGGAGCTGGACTTGGTTGATCTCCTGTAACCTGTACTAGCCCTGATTTTTATACCCAGCAAAGAGCCAGCCCTTCAGGGAACTCGGACATCTCCTCCCTAAGCAGGTCCTGACTGAGGCGCAAAGGATGTCTTGTTTTAAACAGGCAGGCTGTGCTGCCTGATTGTAGGAGATTTCAGTACCTGTGAGCATAATGGTCTAGTTTCACGGAGCAAAAGTTCTGTGCAGAAATGCAAAGCACAAGCTAAAGAATCGACTTCTTTTTGCTGTAGAAAATAAATTGTGGAGTTGGATTAACGGAATAAATTCTATGCCATGTGAATCTAAAGTGCCATTTCATTTAGGAAGAGATGATTCCATTCACAATAGCTCAAATCCTGGAACACTGAGTTTTGTGAAATTGCCAAGTAAAGAGTGAGTCGGAAACAGGTTTTTAAAATGTGCAGTGATTTAATAGATCTTTGGTGACAGCACATGGTACAAGCTAACCACTAATACAGACACAGTGAAGACTGGCTCAAATGTCCTACTGGTGAGAAAGTTAAAATTTTCATTGTGTATGGGGGGG